TTATCCAATTAGAATAGGTAGAATTTAGATATTTTAATTGTCTCTGGGAATTTTATTTCATTAAGCTACATAAAAAGCAACTTTTTTACTCAACTGTTTAAAATATGTATAAAACAAACACTGAGGCTTTTGCTTTTTGTTTCTATGGCGCAATTCGCTACGATCCAACACTGCTGAGGAGGAGGAGGTCAATGCATGGTCATCATGTCCTGTTAGTCCATCTCTGTGAGGTTTGGCTGAACCTCAAACAGGATCAGATAATGATAATAGTGATCCAAAGGATCTTCTCGCAATTTATTTTATTTTTTATTTTTTTCATTTTTATTTAGCCCTCTCCAGGCAGATGTTGCAGATTTGCAACAGCTAAATGCCACTTAGCAAATTACTCCACATCCATATTTTAAGAGCTTTTGTTACTCAGAAGTACAACAGAAGGACTTAGTTGCGCATTTGCAACAAACAGTTTCTCTCCAGCTCACCAGATGGCACTGCTGAATCACTTTCAACATGGCTGAGTCCTTGGTGTCACTGAAACAGATTTTCTAAGCGCCAATTTCATGTAAGTGTCACTACCAATTTCCATGATTTTGACTGGTTTTTCACCAGAGGCATCTTGATTTCAATGTTGTGGATTTGCAACGTGTGCCCAAACAGGTACCAATGGAAGCTACATGCTTTATATACTAGTTTGCCTATATTTTGAGCAACAGTTTAATAGAAACGGCATTCTCAAGAGGTTTTGAGATGACGGTGGAGAAAAACTTTGAGGAAAAGTTTTTTTTTTTTCAAGTTTTGTTTTGTTAATTTTTTGTTTGTGACATTCAATTAAAGTTAGCGTTCATATTTTGCTTGTAAAGCGGGGAGAATTGCGCTAGGCTTACCGCAGCGTGACGTCACTGCCGGAAGATGGATGGGGGGAGGTGTTACTATATGTAGGCAAAAATGGCCGCTCCCAGACTCAGCGATTGTTACGAAAATGATTGTATTAGTATTGTGCTGTAAATGCCCCATTAGCGCTGTCGTTGGAGAACCATTCCATCCCTTTCAGTTTAGGTTTTAGCTCAAGCCTCTCTGTTGGAGAATGTTTTATGTATATGTGTATTATAATATAACTAGGTCAAGGTCATCAGAGTTGCAGTGTGTCTGTACAATGAAAATAGCTGCATGAGCTGGAACTCTGCAGAGGGCAAAGCAAGAATACTTATTTAACAATGACCATCTGCCCTATTTACTAGGGGGCAAATATAACTCAAGTCACTTTAACTCAACATCTCCTCCACTGTTGAACCACAGCGCTGAGCTTTATGTGGGCTGCACAAAGTATAACTGTCACAAATGCAGGAAGGACTCACCTTGTGTTTGTAAAAACTGCTAAATGGGACAATTGTAGCTTCATATGTAGAGCTTTTCCTTGGGTGAAATAAATGTTACTCCAATCGGTCTCCACCAAGTGACGTCAATTGTTTACCTCGGGCGAGGTACACTACGCCTTTTCCACCTAAAATGGCGTCTTAGCAACAAATGTCACGTGACTGGTGGAGACCGATACTGAAGTTTAAGCTGAAATGTTGAATAACATGAAAAGGCGAAACAAGACAAAATACAATTATTCTCTAAGTTTCTTTCACATTGTGAGCTTTGCAATATAAATGAGTCTGTTGGTGAATGGACAATATAAATAGGCTCTGCTTCGCCTTGTTGGAAAAGTATGGTTATGACCTGTTCTCAGCTCAGGAACTAGGACCCGTATGATATCTGGTTGTTTGATAGGTTTGCCTAAATAAAAGATTTTGATATGACTTATTAAGTATATTCCTGATGGTCTGATGTTGCAGGGGCAGGTAATAAAAAGTGTTTGGAACATGCTCTGGTTCTGATGCCAGTTTGCTTCAGCCTTTATCCAGTCTCATGTAGAAAGGCTGCTCATATCACAGGTTATTTGCATTACAACAAGGACAGTTAGCAAGGTAGAGTGAAAACACAAACTTAAAGAGGGGAGGGGGGCTTGCAGGAAAACTGAAGATTAATTAATGATTAATTACCTGTTTGGATGTTGCTTTTATTGTGAAAACTATTTTGTTTTGACCTGTTGAATGAACCCATATCATGCAGGAGCATAATTAGAGGTCTGACTATCTGGGCACCATGACCTTTGTCAAGTTTAGTGAATCATTCACGGAGTTCCTTTATCAATTTGACCATAAAACATATGGTTTACCTGGACACTCCCCTCTCTTAAACAGTGACTCTGCAGCTCATTAATAAAAAACGTTCCTCTGAACATTGGGGGGCTAATCTGAGGAACATCAGTTTATAGAAGTCTGACAGTTAAATTCTGATAGATACATTTTAGAGTGAATTCCAAGTTTTTTGAAAAAGGTTCGTGCTTCCAGCTCACAGCAAAAAAATAAAATCTAAATAAGTCCTTTTTTCTTAAAATCAGTGCATTTTTTCTTGAAATAAGGATTGAAGTGAGACACTTTGCCAATGGAACATGACAATTTACACTTTATACAAGAAAAAAACAATTGCATTGTCTTATTTCAAGTGCATAATAG